GAAATCAATACCAACGTATGAAGGCCTACATCACAGCATTGAGAGATGAGCTCTACACAACGTATGGTATGATATGTCGTTATATTGTCATGATTCACGTGTATGCAGACAGCTTGTGAGCTACATCCACGCGTGCATGCGGCACATCACAAACAAATCCTGAGCTACTTCGGTGGTTTGCGCATCGCACGTTCACGCTAACGGATTGCTGCAACTAGGCACTTGGAGCTCTGGAGCTCTTACCCTTCAGGTAGTGCGGCACATCTAAAGCCTCCTCGGCTTCGCTATGGACGCATGCTCGTGCGAATGTGTGCAATCATGAGACGGTTTGGCATCGAGATGATATCTGGGCCGAGGTGATGGCAACGTGTCAGACAGATATAAGCCCGTCGACTGCAAGCAAAGCCGGAACACACCAAGCGCGTATTAATTGCGCTTGGGTTACTTAGTTTTGTTGGCAAGGGGGTAGTACAAACTCTAGCGGGTCACTCTTCAAACCTAACAGGGCCGCGAGACCTCACAGTTATATTCAGAGCGCCGAAGCGCAGACCGAGCCTACGCTGACCATGTCAACAGAGAGTGGCGTGTATATGTTCTCGAAATTGGAGAACATCATCGTCGACAAGATGATGAACAAACCCCTCCTCCAGCACGGGAGAATGAGACCAGTGGTCACTTCGCTTGCAAATCTTAGGAGCCAATGGGCGCTTTCAAACGAGGGTGGGGAGATGCAGGGGTTGTTTCGGGGCCGTGGATTTCTTGGGGACGTCGGATTATAGAAAGGAACCGCCCGGGCGCAAGCGTAGCCTCCACATATGCAGATGAATGCGTATCATAGGTAGTAGACTAGTACGCAGCACGAGCGTGCCGCGACACCTCACCCGCATGCACCACAACACACCTCCTCCTGAAAGCAAAGCGGCGCGGCGGCGGCGGCGGCTGGCGGGGGCGGCGCACTGCTCACAGTCATCGCCGTCGCCCAGACGACGAGGACGAGGACGCACTTGCACCAGCGCCCGGCCCGAGCCAGCATGCACACAGGTCGCACAGCTGGACATGATCCTGCTCCGTCCCCGCGGAGTCGCGCCTTGCGGAGGCGCAGCGGCCGGGAAGGGAAGGGTGGAAGGGGCGGCGCGGCGGATGGCAGGGAGAAGCAGGGAGAAGGGAGGGCAAGGCGTGGAGGAGGGGGGGGAAGGAGGATGATGAGGAGGAGGGGGAGACATTGGAGGAGAAGGGGAAGAGGGAGGAGGAGGAGGAGGAGGACTTGGAAGATGAGGAGGACGAGGAGGAGGAGGAGGGTGGCGGGAGATGAAGATATGGTGATGGCGGTTAGGGCTCGACTCGCCTGAGGTTCACAGCTGCGCATGGGCGAGAGGGCGGTCGCGCAGTTGACGCCCCGCGTCTGGGCCCCTGGGCCCCTTATCCCAACTCATCTCTCATTGTTACCCTCAACCTCATCCCCCCTCTCTGTTCACATTCTCTCACATGTTCGAACTCAGCTCGCCCCCATGGGATGCGAGGAGGATACGCAGGAACAAGGATGAGAGGGCGAGGTGGAGAGAAGGAGGAAAGTGGTAGAGAACAGGACAGGGATGGAGGGGGTAGCAGCGGTGGTTCGGACGAAGAGCATTGGAGGATGGTGGTGACGGTGCCTCGCCCACGGATGTGGCAGCGTAAAGTCGATGCTGACCACGTCGCGAAGCTTCGCCATGAATTGAACCAAGACTGACTGCTGGCACGACCTGTGCCACGATACCAAGCACAGCGGACACTTGGACGCGTTGGATGCCCTGCACAACACGCACCCCTGAATGCTGTCAACCGTTGCGGTAGCCCCACCTGCCCCTCTGCGATGATGCTGGAAAGCAGCCTCGCTCCACACGCGGTGGAGCTGCAGCATGTTAGCTGGCAGCGCGGGGCGGTTGTTCGTGATAGGCTTCGTGACTGATGCGAACTTGTGGGGCCCTGGGCCCTTGGTCTTAGACAGCCTGAAACCAACAGCTGGATGCACAAGTCGATGGCCCTCGAGGCTAATCTTCTTGTCCCAGGCATCAGTGACCCAGATGGGCCGCAGGTCCCCGTCGAGACGGACGAGACGCCCGATTTTTTCTGCTTTATCGACCCAATATACAAACCGAACAGACCCGTCACGCAACTCATACAAAGATAACTCATCACCAGTATCTCCACCAAGCGGCACGCAAGTTTCCAAAGCTGTGACAGATGACTTCAACGCTGCTGCAGATACCAGCGCGGCCTCTACCCAATGTTGATATGCGTCGGTGAGCTCTCTCAATGCAGCCCCAGTCGGAATGTCAACGCCGCCAGTGCTGCTGCTGCTGCTGCTGCTGCTAGATTTCGAAGCGCCCAACAGTGCATGCGCAATGATTGCATCTTGTTCTTGCTCAGCAGGATTTGCGTGGGATGTCAGCCCCTCGGTTGCACCAGCTGCGGCGGCCTTTTCCAATTGAACAATGTATGCGTGGCCTTTCTTCGCGGCAGTCACTGTGGCCTGATTCGCTATGTGCGCCTCGGCCTTTGCGACTTCGAGCTCGCCCGTTGCCTCCTGGTCCTCGAAAAGGGCACGTGCATGACACAAGAAGGCTCGCAGACCCCCAGTGGTCCCAGGGGAGCAATATGTTGTTTCCAGCTGGCGTCCGAATGGCCTCTAGATCAGTTCCAGGGGCCGCCCCGGGGCCCCAAGGAGCACCGGCGCAAAATGTCCAAGGAAGGCAGGGGAGAGGGAAGATGACGTGGGGCCAGGATTATATCCGCCGTCAGAATACTTGCGAAGGGTTGAAAAGCCGTCATTGCCCCTACATCTGGTTTGTCTCATCACCCTGGGACGCCCGACGCCCGTGGAGGAGGAGGAGGCATAAGAAGAAGAAGAAGAAGAGGAGGAGGAAAAGGAGAAGGAGGAGGGGGAGGAGGAGGACGGCGAGGAGGAGGATAATGGTGGGAAGGGGGTGCAGGGGTGCAGGGCACGATCTTGGATGACAAGTGTCCTGCTCGATCAGTTTCCCGAGTGCGTCTCCAAGCTCGTCCATCTCAGCCCCGTCGCTCTGCCGCAGGAGATCGGCTGCGAGTGATCTGAGGTCATCTGACCCGACGCTCTCAGCAAACTTGGCAGGGTCGATCTCTCCCTTTTCGCTGATGGCAGACGCGACTGCAGCAACCGCAGGGTCACCAGACGCAGGCAAAGGTTTCGCTGACGTCGGTTTCTTCGGCTTAGGCTTACATGGTGGGAGGGGGGTCAACGTGCCGACTGCATCAGCGGATGTCGGGTCGATGGTTCCTGCGACCATCGTTTGACCTTCTTCCCAACCAATCGGACATCTGTTAATGGCAACACGGTTATCCCCGCCAACGATGGCATCGTGCATCGATGCGAACATAGACAGCGAAGTAACGAACGTGATCGGACGGTCGACGACAATGGCGTTGACGACGGCGCCGCCTCCCTGGATCCGCAAGGTGCCTCGGAGCATCATCCCGATGGCGTACGACTTCTCCGCCAGCATGAACGCGGGCTTGCCGGGCTCCGCGTCGCCGAAGTACAGGCCTCTGCGAGGCGCGGGGGCGGCGGGGAGGAGAGGAAGGAAGGTGAGAGGAGGACAGAAGACGCACTGGGGTTCAAGAGATAGTTGGATGAGGAGAAGGAAGTGGCCGAGGGCGGTCGAGGGCTCGACGGAGAGAACATGAGATGGAGAGGGTAGGGGGCCTGAACGCAGTCGGGAATCCGTGGCCGCCGTTTTGTTCCACACCGTGTTGAAGCACGCGCCCCGCATCAGCGCTGGGGTGACATGGTCATTTGCATTGTACTCGTCTAGTCGTTCATTGACAACAGCACGCGGAAGAACATAGGGAGCATCTGGAAGCGGTGCCGGGGCCCATCGGTCCACTTGCCCTGTAATCGTGCGTGCACCACGAACGTGTTCACAACACGTTGTCCACACCCGTTCAATCGAGTCTCTCATCAGTGACCACTTGGCTTGCCCCCTGGTTGGCACGTGCAGCTCGTGCTTGAGCTGCGCCCTGGAGCTCAGCAACTCGAGGGATATAGAAGGAGCACGAGTTCCCTGTATCCCAATCATAGAATTGGTGGCTTCGCACGGTCTCGAACTCGCCTGCCCATCCGCGTTCTAGACAATCGAAATGAAGCAAGGGAGCGAGCGGCTGAAGGGATCAACGTTGACTCGAGGGTCGAGAGGGCTGGGCGCGAGGGAGCACAATGCAAAGTCAAACGGATGGGTCATGTATGCGAGTGACGGTTGTGCTAGGCGCTCTCTCATGACTCCACATGTTCGTCCTCCCTCATCGTCTCATCGTCCACGTTGCCAGTGAATCGCAGCCTTCTCCTCTCCTCCTCCTACTCGTCTTTTATCAGGCGTAGTGATCATTATTACTCGCTCCTCAAATCCTCCCTGCATCCCCTGATTCCTCCACAGTTCCTCCCTCCTCAACGTCAAGCAGGCTCTGTTACACTTATCGGTCAATATCAACTTGCCCGAACTGAAAGCTACATGCAAACTACCCCCGTTCGCCTTGAATGAGCGGCTGATCTGCCGCACGGCCACCCAAAGCCTCGGCGCACAATATCCAGTCTGGGCAGCATAGATAATCTCAGCCCGAAAGAGCCGCAACAACTTCTTGGCGTTGACCTCGAGATCAGCAGCCGGGAGTGAAACGAGTTCAGCAGCAGTGGCAGCCCGCAGCTTGCACCGCGTGGTCTGGGGGGTCTTAACGAGCAAGAACATCTTGAATGGCCACCTGGGATGGCGGCAGCGAGAGGGGACAATAACAACCAAGCTGAGATGAGACAGGGCACTGAGGGAATCAAAATCACTGGCATCAGGGGACATCCAAGAGTGAGGAGGGGAGGAGAAGGATGAGGAGGAGTCCAGGAGTCCAGGAGGGCACCCTTACTGAACACGCACAATGACCATCAATGGCCAACCCCTCGCAGGTTGAGATGAATGGTGATATATTCCACGCTCGACCTCTTGAGAGGCTCAACGATGCGACGGTAGAAGCCGCCAGCGTGGTACGCGACGAGGGCAGGGATGATGCGCTTGATGAACGCGGCGTCGTCCGCCACGAGGCCAGCAGAGGAGATAAGCGTGACCCACCATGGGTCACCGACCATTGCGTCGTACTCGAGGTAGATGGACTCAGCTTTCCCCTGGACCAACGCACATATAGCACCGCCCACGCCGCTGTGTGGATTTGGGCCAGACGTCTTACTAATGGAGCCTGCATCGCGAGTCTGATAAGCCAACATACAGTTTGAGAAGTGCTCGCCTGGAGTGTGAACCCGCCTTGAAACAGACATCAATGTCCAGAAGAGCCGTTCCTCCTTGCTGCACAGCGTCAGCACGTCCCGGCGCCATCTCCCGACCTTCGCCTTGTGAGCTTTCGTCTCGTCTGCGGCCAAGCCGATGAGCTCGTCCGCTACTTTGCCAGCGTCCGCAAGCGGGGCAGGGCCAACCTGTGGCGCGGCAGCGTCGGGATCTTTTCTCGTGATGACCTGCTCGAGCACTGGGCATATCAAGTCAGGGCCAGCCGCCGCGTACATCGTTTCAACGGCGAACACCGACCCCCACCGACCTGCTACGCATTTAGGCGGCAACCTCCCAGCAAATTCCGTCACGGACTTGCTGCCAAAGCGGTCCTTCCAGGTGGAGTACACTGCCTTCGCCAAGTCACGCCAGGTGTTGGTAATCTTGCACAGCGACGTGTAGTAAGTCCATTTCTTTTTGGCGACCTTCAGTTCCTCGTCGATCAAGTCGAGGCCGCCTTTGCACACTAGGTGGTATTGGTGTTCCAAACAGTTGGCGTCCAAATAGACAACGTTAGCAAGAGGCCCACATATTGCTGATAACATTTTGCGAGCGCCCCGCTGGTCTGAGCCAGCGTCGGTAACGTTGCACAGAGCAATGAGGTCCGTCGCGTTGTGCGCCCCCAAATCAAGTTCAGGCCCCCACAGTGGACATCCCAACCCCTTGAGGTGTTTCACAATGAGTCCGAGGGTGTCTTCCGGCGTGCCACCTTCAACTGGGAGGACGTCTGCGAGCGCATGCAGGTGGGAAAAGGCATCGCTCCACTGTGTGCGCCCCGAAGACAGCGAATGGCACCAATGAACATCGTCAGCAGCGGCCGTCGAAGAGTACACCTCAAGACTGAGGCAGTGAAGCTTGCGTTCCTGCCATATCGCGGAGTTGGTAGCGTCGGACATGAACATGATCGTGGTAAGACCGAGCCGCGTCTGCGGGGGCGCAAGCGCGCTCAGCTCGCCAAGTGCAACAATCTCGGCCGAGGGATCAGGCAGAGGAGGAACTTCTGAGGCGTCGCCGCCATCGACCGATGGTGGCGCTAGTGGAAGGGGCGCGGCAGTGGCCTGAGGCGAGTGTGCCTTCCACCCAGCCCAATCGGCCTTCACCCGAGTGAAGTAGCTGCGGGAGCTCGCAACCAGGGACGCTGCGGCGGCTACTTCTGCCCTTGACACCGTGGCACTGGAAATGTCCTGCATCAGGCAGATCCCAACGTGGTGCGTCGATATGTTCGATAAGTTACGCCTGATGCCAAGAGACATTTGGCCATACTCTGACAACTTCCGCTTACCACACATGTGCAACGCCAGCTTGTTTGGCATCTTGGACGGGCCAATCTCCTGTTGTCGTTTGTTCGGAAGGACCTTCAATGCATTGGTGGCCGTGACGATCTCGTGGTTCATGGAGTCGATGCGGCGTCTCTGCCGCCTGTGCGTCTGAGCATCCAGCTTACGCTTGCCGCGCAGAGATACCAGCTGATTCTGCAGCCGAGTATTGCTCGCTTGCAGGGATTTGGCGAATACCACCAGCTCCTTGGATACAACAAAAATCATCATCAGCATCATCATCATCACCATCATCACCATCATCATCATCATCACCATCATCATCATCATCGACAGCAACCTCATTCCTCCTCCTCCTCCCCCGGGGTCTCCCCCTTTTCCTCCTCCGCCTCCTCATCATCCCACGACGTGGCTACTCGTCGTTGTCGTCGTCGCGTCGCTCCTCGCGGGGAAGGGCGGCGACGTCGACGCTGCCGACCTCCGCCGCGACAATCGCGTCATCGCCAGGCGGCGGCGCCGGGGGCGGCGCCAGCTCCAGCGGCGGCGCTGGGAGCGGCACCAGCGCCAGCGGCGGCGGCGGCGCGGCGTCCCGCGACAGCGTCGATTGCGCCTGCTGCCTGAAAGGGAGCAGCGCGCGTCGGGTGGGAGGTGGACGACGACGGGATGACCCGAGAAAGAGCAGCGGTGGAGGAGGTCGAGGAGGAGGAGGAGGAGGACGGAGGAGGAGGAGGACTGAGGAGGCAAATAAGGATAATGAAGGGGGCTCAGGTCGTAGGCGCAAGGGGGGAGGAGGAGGAGGAGGATGAGGAGGAGGTGGAGGAGGAGGAGGAGGAGGAGGAGGAGGAGGAGAAGGAGGAGGACCAGGAGAACCAGGAGGAGTGTATGGTGGACGCGGTGCCCAAAACGGCGGGCCTGACCAGCCGCCAGACGGTCTGGTCGACCGCCCCCGCCTCCACTAGGAAGCAGAGCACGACGTCAGGGTCCAGGGCGCCGTCCTCGTGCCTCGGCGGGGCGCGGATTCAACGTTGCTAGCGTACCCCCCATCACATGATGATGACGGGGCGCTAGCAGCGCCTAGAGGAAAAGCAGTAAGGAAACCATCGGCAGGTAATTTGGTCGTCGTCTTTTCCCCCCTCATCGTCCTTCTGCTCATCCTCGTCATCCTTCTGATCCTCATCCTCCTCCTGACCCTCCTCCCCCAACCTCCTCGTCCTCTCCTCTCCTTCCTCCTCGTCCTTCCCCTCATCCTCCTCCTCATTCCTCGTCCTACATCTATCCCATCCCTCCTCCTCCTCCGCCTCCACCTCCTCCTCATCCTCCTCCTCATACTCCTCCCTCTCCTCCTCCTCCTCCTCCTCCTCCTCCTTCTCCTCCTCCTTCTCTTCCTCCTCCCCGGGTGCACGCCTGCACTGCTCGATCAGAGCGCCCCCGCGCGCCACGGCGATCGCCGCGCGGGTCGCGACGACCTTGCTAGCCATCGCCACGAAGCGCGGCAGGTCAGCGAGCGCCTGGGGGTGGGAACAATGCCGAGAGGAGCCGAGACTGGGGGCAAGACCTGGACGCCCGTCGCCTTCTCAAATCGGAGGGTATATGACTCCAGAACCGAACAACCCGAAGGACAGGAGGATGTGAGCGGAATGGTTCGCCAAGCGCGCCTCGCCCTCGAGGCGCAGTTCCTGCTCGCGCAGGCGACCATGGTTAATTAAGAACAACCGCAAAGCGTTGCGGAGCCCGAGGCCCACAGGGCCTGAAGGAAGCGGCATGAGCCGAACAATGGCTTGGACCAGTGATGCAACGTCAACGCGGCCGCCTGTGAAAAGGCGAGGTCCAACCCCGATTGGGACTGTGTGCAATCACGAACGCACGTTTATGGATGGCGGAACCGAGGAGAACGAAGAGGAGGGGGAGGGGAGGAAAGCTGAAACGAAATAGGAAAAGGAGAAGGAGGGGACGACTAAAGTAGCCGAATCAAGGGTATACTTTTGAGAGAGCGGGAGAGGCAGCAGAACGCGAGGGAGGGAGAAAGAACGGAAACTTGATAACGGTACAAATGCTTTGCCGCGATGTGCGAAACCTTGATAACACATGCTGACAAATCGAAGCTTGTGTAGCTCAATGGAACGCGAATTCCATCAGACCTGAACGGAACAAACGCACTCACGAGGCTGGTCGGATTCTTTGGAAGCGCAACCACGAACTTAACAAAAACAGTAATTCTGATTGAGTGAAAACTGCTTTTAACAATTCCCCGAAAACTTGAAACCACATGTTCGGCGATTTCTGGTGAAGAGAATATTGTATTCTGTCGGGTTCGATGATTGCAAAAACAAGGTTGGTGATGATGGCGATGTTGGAGATGACGACGACTGACGACGGCGAGCATGCGGAACGGCGTAGGGAGGCACCCCGTTGAGCAACCCACGGCGTGGGGAGGAGCACCGCCGAGCAGCCGATCCACACCCCAGGAGGCTTCACCCCCAGAGCTACATTTGAGCCTCCCTATAGTAGTCGTAGTAGTCGTAGCAGTAGTACTAGTAGTAGTAGTAGTAGTAGTAGTAGTAGTAGTAGTAGTAGTAGTAGTAGTAGTAGTAGTAGTAGTAGTAGTAGTAGTAGTAGTAGTAGTAGTAGTAGTAGTAGTAGTAGTAGTAGTAGTAGTAGTAGTAGTAGTAGTAGTAGTAGTAGTAGTAGTAGTAGTAGTAGTAGTAGTAGTAGTAGTAGTAGTAGTAGTAGTAGTAGTAGTAGTAGTAGTCGTAGTCGTAGTCGTAGTAGTAGTAGTAGTAGTAGTAGTAGTAGTAGTAGTAGTAGTAGTAGTAGTAGTAGTAGTAGTAGTAGTAGTAGTAGTAGTAGTAGTAGTAGTAGTAGTAGTAGTAGTAGTAGTAGTAGTAGTAGTAGTAGTAAGTCGTAGTAGTCGTAGTAGTAGTAGTAGCAGTAGTAGTTTAGTAGTAGTAGTGGTAGTAGCAGTAGTAGTTGTAGAGGTAGTAGTCGTAGTCGTCGTAGTAGTTATTAGTTAGTGAGTGGTAGTTGTAGTAGTAGGAGTTTCGTCGTCGTCGTCGTCGTCGTCGTCGTCTCGTCGTCTGTCGTCCGTCGTAGTAGTAGTAGTAGTAGTAGTAGTAGTAGTAGTAGTAGTAGTAGTAGTAGTAGTAGTAGTAGTTAGTAGTTAGTAGTAGTAGTAGTAGTAGTAGTAGTAGTAGTAGTAGTAGTAGTAGTAGTAGTAGTAGTAGTAGTGGTCGTAGTAGTCGTAGTCGTAGTAGTAGTAGTAGTAGTAGTAGTAGTAGTAGTAGTAGTAGTAGTAGTAGTAGTAGTAGTAGTAGTAGTAGTAGTAGTAGTAGTAGTAATAGTATTAGTAGTAGTAGTAGTAGTAGTAGTAGTAGTAGTAGTAGTAGTAGTAGTAGTAGTAGTAGTAGTAGTAGTAGTAGTAGTAGTAGTAGCCGTAGTCGTAGTCGTTGTAGTAGTCGTAGCCGTAGTCGTCGCAGGAAATCATGATCTCCTCCTCCTCCTCTTCGTCGTCGTGTCGTCATCATGATCCTCCTCCTTCTCCTCCTCCTCCTCCGTTTCCTCCTCCTCCTCCTCCTCCAGCGAAAACCCATCGGGCTCGATTTTCAGGCCCGATGGGTTTTCGCTGCTGCCAACCCTCCGAAGCCGAATTCCGGGCACGTGAAAGCTTGAACCCCCCCCAGTGCATTCGGGCTCGATTTTCAGGCCCGATGGGTTTTCGCTGCCGCCGACCCTCCGAAAGCGAATTCTGGGCACGTGAAAGCTTGAAACTCCCCCAATGCATTCGGGCTCGATTTTCAAGCCCGATGGGTTTTCGCTGCCGCCCACCCTCCGAAGGATGAGATCCCCCCAAATCCTTCGGGCTCGATTTTCAGGCCCGATTGGTTTTCGCTGCCGCCGACCCTCTGAAAACGATTTCGGAACGCAAAAAAAACAACAACTTCTCCCAGATCAGTCGGGCTCGATTTTCAGGCCCGATGGGTTTTCGCTGCTGCCCACCCTCCGAAACCGAATTCTGGGCACGTGAAAGCTTGGAACTCCCTTAATGCATTCGGGCTCGATTTTCAGGCCCGATGGGTTTTCGCTGCCGCCCACCCTCCGAAGAATGAGATCTCCCCAAATCCTTCGGGCTCGATTTTCAGGCCCGATTGGTGTTCGCTGCCGCCGACCCTCCGAAAGCGATTTCGGAACGCAAACAACACACATTCTCCCAGATCAGTCGGGCTCGATTTTCAAGCCCGATGGGTTTTCGCTGCTGCCCACCCTCCGAAACGGAATTCTGGGCATGTGAAAGCTTGAAACTCTCCCAGTGCATTCGGGCTCGATTTTCAGGCCCGATGGGTTTTCGCTGCCGCCCACCCTCCGAAGGATGACATCCCCCCAAATCCTTCGGGCTCGATTTTCAGGCCCGATTGGTTTTCGCTGCCGCCAACCCTCCGAAAGCGATTTCGGAATGCAAAAAAATACAAATTCTCCCAGATCAGTCGGGCTCGATTTTCAAGCCCGATGGGTTTTCGCTGCTGCCAACGCTCCGAAACCGAATTCCAGGCACGTGAAAGCTTGAAACTCCCCCAGTGCATTCGGGCTCGATTTTCAGGCCCGATGGGTTTTCGCTGCCGCCCACCCTCCGAAAGCGAATTCTGGGCACGTGAAAGCTTGAAACTCCCCCAATGCATTCGGGCCCGACTTTCAGGCCCGATGGGTGTTCGCTGCCGCCCACCCTCCGAAGGATGAGATCCCCCCAAATCCTTCGGGCTCGATTTTCAGGCCCGATTGGTTTTCGCTGCCGCCGACCCTCCGAAAGCGATTTCGGAACGCAAAAACAACAAATTCTCCCAGATCAGTCGGGCTCAATTTTCAGGCCCGATGGGTTTTCGCTGCCGCCGACCCTCCGAAAGCGAATTCTGGGCACGTGAAAGCTTGAAACTCCCCCAATGCATTCGGGCTCGATTTTCAGGCCCGATGGGTTTTCGCTGCCGCCCACCCTCCAAAGGATGAGATCCCCCCAAATCCTTCGGGCTCGATTTTCAGGCCCGATTGGTTTTCGCTGCCGCCGACCCTCCGAAGGCGAATTCGGAACGCAAGAAAAAAAACAAATTCTCCCAGATCAGTCGGGGTCGATTTTCAGGCCCGTTGGGTTTTCGCTGCTGCCTACGCTCCGAAACCGAATTCCGGGCACGTGAAAGCTTGAAACTCCCCCAGTGCATTCGGGCTCGATCTTCAGGCCCGATGGTTTTTCGCTGCCGCCGACCCTCCGAATGCGAATTCTGGGCACGTGAAAGCTTGAAACTCCCCCAACGCATTCGGGCTCGACTTTCAGGCCCGATGGGTTTTCGCTGCCGCCCACCCTCCGAAGGATGAGATCCCCCCAAATCCTTCGGGCTCGACTTTCAGGCCCGATTGGTTTTCGCTGCCGCCGACCCTCTGAAAGCGATTTCGGAACGCAGAAAACAACAAATTATCCCAGATCAGTCGGGCTCGATTTGCAGGGCCGAGGGGTATTCGCTGCTGCCGGCCCTCCGAAAAGCTGAATTTCTGGGCACTGTCGGCTCGGAACTTCCCCCAATGATTCTTAAGTCCGGCCTCCGCGCCGATGGGTTCCTGCCGTCCCCCTCCGATGGATGAGATCTCCCCAAATCCTTCGGGCTCGATTTTCAGGCCCGATTGGTTTTCGCTGCCGCCGACCCTCCGAAAGCGATTTCGGAACGCAAAAAACACACATTCTCCCAGATCAGTCGGGCTCGACTTTCAGGCCCGATGGGTTTTGCTGCTGCTCACCCTCCGAAACGGAATTCTGGGCACGTGAAAGCTTGAAACTCTCCCAGTGCATTCGGGCTCGATTTTCAGGCCCGATGGGTTTTCGCTGCCGCCCACCCTCCGAAGGATGAGA